ACATTTGTTGTATAACAATATGAAGGGTCAATATTTGAAGATTTATAATAATTGAAGTGCGTCATTGTTTGTCTTTGGGAAGTAGTGTGTGATCTTCGTCGAGTATTTTCTTTCAAATAACTCTTTGGCTTACAAGATGCTGTCGAGAATGACAAGGAAGGATAAAGCTTTTGTGAAGAGAGGCCAGAGGTTGTTTGTCGGCCGCTCTATGGTCTAGTCGGGACGACATGAACTGTGGCAAAATACGGTAATCTAACGCATTTAAACCACTCCTTGAGCAAATGAATGCTCTTATACATATTTTTCTGAACTTAATTACGCTCCTTGTCGAACCTGTATTCATTAAATATTTGCTTTGAAAGCTCAGATTAAGATTGTCTCGTTGATAACGGGTTCAAAGTTTTCAAGTTTGCCGCAAACATGGTTGGTATCTCTGGGGAGGTCTGACAAAACTTATCAGGAATGATTCTTATATATGCTATCACGATAAGTCCAGTCTTTGGTTTGTTGTTACGACTTGAGAGGACACCAATATTCTTGCTGAGAGACAACAACATGTCTGTAAAGGTTTTGCCGAATTATTGGGAAAGGAAGTTAGTTATAATCATCATTTCTTACAATTTCACAAATTCCTTTCGCAAGCTTTGGATGCTTAAGTTCCTTGTTCTAAGTAGCGCCCAGTCGAAAATTCCCATTTTTCAGAAAGAACAATGGCAAATTCAGTGGATCATAATACTTTGCTGTTTACAAAATTTAATCCAGATATAATATTTTTCACGACTAAAACGATTGAACCAGAGCCAACTTTACGCCTGCCCTTAAAATCTCGACAGTATTACAGACAAAAGTTTTTGTATTATGCGATGCGTGATAATCTCCTACTACGGATCTATTTTTAGAGGTATTTATGCTTTCCAAGTATCCTTACAACACGGGAGAGAGTACTCCTAGTGCGAGGCCGGACTTAGCTTACTACACACAAATATTTATTTTTAACCATTTATACTTATTTATACCACTCTCCGTTTGCCTGAAATTAATGTCATTTGTAGTATTTTCTGGTGAGTTGGGTTAAACTGAGCCGGAAGCAAAGAATTAAAAATCTCTTTTTGTACTGCCGCCAAACATCACAGTCCTGTGTGTTTAATTTTTTAAACCCTAAGTTTCTGCCTTCAAGAGAAGATTTTACGCCGAAATGTTCATTGAATAGCTGAATTGTTGAAACATGAGGAACATTTCTTGCAATCAAATTGTTCTTGAATTGAGACTCAATGAGTTCCTTTTGAACTCACAAGAAGGTGTTTGTAACGAGAAAGTAATACCGTTAAATAACCACAAAGTAGCGAAAGAAACACGAACGGAATTTCCTTGGGATCAGTGCTCTTTACGGTCTCACAACGGAAAACATTTTCCTTTAAAGTGCAAGTTCTCTTCACAACTAACACGATGCATTGAACTGGGCTATATCTATGTCTTCAGTGTGCTGAAGATGGGGAAAGGCACGCAGTCGCGGACAACCCAGCCTGTCTACCAAACTTATAGAATATATTCGCCGTTATCTAATCAAAAGTGAGTCCTGGTGGTTTTCAAGATTGGAGGCTTTCTTTTGCAATCCCAATGATCTTCGCCTGACGAAATTTTTCACCATAAATTTTCAATTTACCATGAAGATTCCTCGTGGCTGACTCGCTAAACAAGAATACTGCTGCCCTTGTCGATTAAAACTGTTGTTTTGCTAATACTCGACTTCCCTAAAATTGACCCAAGTGGCGCGTGCAAGATAAAAGTTCACCTTAGTGTCTAAAGTTATATAAGCGGATCATCAGAGGCGTGTTCTCCATGTAGTATGCCTAAATATGGTCAATTTTGCCGTTCCCGAAGGGTCGTTGCCTTTTTCACATTGATTACGTAATCCCTTCCTGCATTCCTGATATTCATTTGGGTGTTAAAGGAAAATATTGGCTATCTTGTAACTCCAACTATGAATGCTAATTGTTTTAGAGGATGGTGCGGTCGACCGCAAATTGGCAAAAATTATTCGACTACTCAAGAAACTTTTATTCATGGGCGTTTATTATTAGAGTGGAAGCAAATGAAAGGCGATGAATTCCCTGGTAAGAGTTAAAAATATGATTCAGGGCACCTCAGTTTAAGTGAATTGCTCTAATCTCATAATGGAAGACTATTAACAATAACTAATCACCTAAGTGGGTAGTTATTTCACATTATCACTCCGTTGGCCAAAGATAGACAAGATACATGTTTTATTGTTCAGAGTTCAACGTTTTTTTTTTTGGTGTGTGTCTCAGCAATTCTGAAAGAGCACTAAGGCCTTTCTGCCTGCGCGGCGGCACATGCCTTTTCACGTGGTATATACATGTTTTGAATTGTCATCCGAACAGTTCTAAAATAATTTTGTATAAGGTGTATATTTTGTTGGCTGGAAAGGGGAAAAACACTTTCTGCCTCTTGAGATTAAAGCAAAGAAAGCAAAATTGACACGAGTAATAAAAACAGGACAGGATTACAGTATTACGATGAAGGTTATTTTCCCAGCACCTGAATAAACAAAACGGCTGCTATGGTTTCTTATGAGGTTATTGAAATTATAAACCTTGGCTTACAGTTTATAAATACTTTGAATGATCCTTTTACAATGATATGTTTGTATTTCTTCTAAGGCGGATGTTTTTGTTGAGAAATAGAATCCAAAACATTCGGCCGTTGTAGGCTGGGACAGGAAGTTGCAAAAGCCTATGAAACCAGTTGCTTGCGGAAATGACGTCTTCAGATATCTTGGGGTGCAAAGGCAGCCCTCAAATTTTGTTTGACAACATCATCTGCTATTCAAAAACCTGACTTCTTAAAGTCAAAATTTGAAACACAAACAATACTGACATGCTTTCCTATCTAATCAAGTTGTTTTCATTAACGATTTCCACTAATTTTGTCTTGCCAACCGCTGTTTGAAATTTTGTGCTCATTGGCAGCTCTCAGTCGAAACATGACGAATGTTTCCTCGTTCTGATAATTATTTCATGAACTCTCTTGGACGCTTCGCCCAATCAATGAATAAGCGGGAATATCAGAGTTGGCAATCCAGTATTCCCACTGATTTGGGAATTGTTTGCCAAAAGGCCAGTCATTTCAACCTTCAGGAAGAAATTTACGTCAGCGCAAGCAGACATCTTTCATGTTCACTACACTGAAGTCTGCCAAAATCTTCCTTTCGAGGAAGAAAAGACAACCTCTTAGAAATGTTGATCTTTTGAGAAATATGACTAAATTTCCTTCTTACATGATAAGTATTTCCATTTTAACTTTATGTGATTATGAAAGGTGCGATAAAGATGCAAAACGTGTTGCGGTTTGATCATCAATTGACACCTTGTTACAATAACGAGCTATTCGGTACGGATATCATGACAGGAGACCAGATTTTGCACGTTTTGAAACTGGAGAAAAAATCAAGCCGATTTTTCACACTTCCAGTGCCTGAATGAACAAGTGGGAGTGCTCAGGGATGAGATTGTGTAACAATTACAGATCTCACAAAATTATTACTCATCTAATGCATGTAATTCCAGTTATCTGCTTGGTTTATCCATTATCTCATTATAAAGTAAACTACGAGTTCATTTACCGGCAATGTGAAATCAATATACACACTTTTGCTGCACCAAATTACTACGAATTTAATCAGTTGAGGAGGGCAATTCTCCAATCATTAGATCGTATTCAAATGTATTTTGCGCTACATGGGTAATAAATTTATTGTTATTAATCTCAAGCACAAACCGTCCTTCGTATAACTGAGGTAAGCTGTCTCTTCAAAAAAGTGGCACTAAGCTAGAGCTGAATCGAAAAGCTGTCATTAGTTATCGTTGAAACGCCCAAGATCATCTTCATTGCTAAATTAGTGGTTGTCATGAATTTCCTGGACCACTATTGACCAATATGAAAGGATTTATTAATTAATTTAATCAAATTTAGATAAACATAAAACATGACTCACAAGACAATTTACTGCCAGATGGGCAATTTGCTGCAAGGATCTCCCCTGTAAAAGGATTTGTTTCACAATTAATGGCTTTTTCGTCGAGCGATAATCGTTTTGTCGTAGCCAAGACATCCGTCGGGTGGGAGTTAAACACCCATACGTAGGAGTTTGTAACCGGCTCATGCCTTCCTCAGCTCTTATCAGAGCTTCAAGGGTCGGTCTGTACTGCGGCGCAAAAGATTAAAATACCAAATTCCAGAGTTGGGTTGGAATTCATAACGGCTAAATATAGACAAGGGAAAATTACGTTTCTGCCTGGGAGCATTTTTGGGTTTCCAGTGAAATTTTAAGTTGAAAATCAACATTTAAGAGCGAAGGGGATATCCAGTTCCGTTTGGGTACATCACTTGCAACTCGAATGCAATGCTGAAGAAATCAAGTAGATTGGAATTTTTCTGCGTTCCTACGATATTACACAACAAAAAATTGTAGACAAAAATTAAGATGTTTTGTTCGCGTGAGGGCTTGCAACACATCGCGGCATTAATTAAACAGAGTTGTCCGTCTTTCGGCACGCTGTAGACAGAAAAAAGAGGCCTGAAAAACAGTGTAAATTCTCGCCCGTTATCGGTTATAAATAAACAACTTTTGGTGTACATAACTTTGCACTCTTCAAGCTCAGTTATCGACCGACATATTACAGATCAAGTGGTTGCAGTTTCGACTACAGCACGGTTTGTGAAAGTGTCTTTTTGTCACACAGAATCGACAACGGCGCGAGTGTATTTATAATTTTCAGTGTAGGCGATAGTCTGGTAACCTTCAGAAGTGATAGTATTTCTTGATATCCCGCAGGGCTGATGCTGGCGTAGGCCATGTGAGACACATGCTTCACAAATATTGTGTTGAGTGGTTGGGTAATATGAAACGGGATACTCACCACATGCCACAGAGATAATGCGATCAGATCGCAGTCCACCTCAGGGTATAAATTGCGCGAGTCGCCTGACACAGGGTCGTATTTTCCGCGAATGCTGAAACAGATCAGCTATATAATCAGTGTAATCGCGCGCGTAGGGAGGGAAACGTAGCGCTTATCAACCGAAGATAAAATCAGTATTAGACACAAGGTTCAGCGTTTGGCAAACACTTCAGTGCTGACTTTGCTCATCGTTTCACAGGTCGCGACTTCTTCACAAAGCATAAAGTATGGAGCAGAATAGGCAAGTTATGCTTGTGGTTTCTCTGCTTGCAATCTGCAGCTTGTTGTCTCTCGGCGACACCAGAAGTCTGGGATCTTTAAAGGTAAGTCCAACACAAACTTGATTAACTTCAAATTCTTCATATATTTTTGCCATCAACAATTTTATGAAGATACTTCATAGCAGTAGTACTGTGAGTAACTGGAAAAAACCGAAAAACGTGACTAGAGGAAGTCAGCGTTTATGAAGTTTTTTTTCTTCGTCCGTTTGTGCTGAAACTCGTAAGGGAGACGTGGCCCTTTCAACTCAGCACTGTTGCTACGCAGTTACAAATCGCATTATCGATAGTCTTAAAATAGCTGAGTTTTACCCTCTTTTAACAAACGTCTAAGGAGTAAGCAACAACCCTGATTTTCGTTAAAAGCCTATTATCAGTTACCATACAATTACATTGTATGGTGTAAAAAACGAGAAATCCGAAAGGGAAAGGATTCGGCGCTCCATTGCTGGCGATCCCGGAATAAATTCTAGCAAGTTCTTTATTGTGTGCAACGTCCGCTTAGACAGACTACATAACTGAATTTAATTAGGCTATGAAATTGCCATGGATTATTAGCTAAGCTGGTATAAACTGTCTCCCTTATTGCCCATTTTCTCACGGATAATGAGACACCGTGTTTTATTTTCTGTCGTGTTTTCATAATAGGAGATTGAATAGAACGGATGACCTTTCGTCTCACCGGAACATCTCTGTGGCAAATGCGTCAACTCTTGTTAAGTACAAGGGTGGCTATGAACGTAAGGAATCCAGAATCTTTAAACTCGTTTGATTGGTCTTAATGGAACGAAATTGGTGATCTTAAAACGAAAAGGCGCTTTATCACTACACAAATAACCCCGAAAGTTTACTATGAGCTGTATATGTCGCCCGTGCTGTTTTTCTAAAGCGACATACGCATCAAACACCGGAAAAAAATTGCGCCATTGAGTATAAACATGTTTGTAAGCGTATAAAAGGCTCCTTCGAAGCTCTTTCTGTAGATCTAGTACAAAGCTTGTTAGGTCTTGACCCGTGTGGATATTCGTGGACACATGTGCTAAATGGCGAATCAGTTTTTGCGGTTTCTTAGTACAAGCATTAAAACAATATTGAAATTCAACTCTCATGTCATTTGTCACTGAGGGAAATAGAATTAAAGGTCATTACTACAAACTTCTGCAAAGTGGAGTTAGTTGGGAACTTGTAGCGAGTTCTAATTGGAAACATGTCGCTCTGTTTTCAATAAAAACAACACGACATTCTTCGAGAAGAATGTTACCTTTGGCGTAGACTGAATTTAAAGAACAGAAGTCGCCGGTAGCAATTTTGTAAGCGCTTAGTCAACACCTAAATTAGCTCGCGAAATGATTGTTTAAGAATTCAAGATTTTATCAGGAATTACGCTTGCAAGCAGCGGACATCAGGAAATGTGATTATGTTACTCCCACGTTAAATCACCTGGGAAAGACATGTTGCCTGGTGCTAATCCAAGTGTTTTTCTCATGGAAAATCTATAGAAAACAATCATCGTTAATTGCGTTACAGTGAACGTTTCCCCAGATGACTGCCGAGCATTTCTTTTTTTTCGCCGCGAAATCCGCAGGATTTTTTACCGTTTAATGGGTGACGAAACATCTGGTTTAGTAAACAGAGCAATTCCGAGATTTTTTTAAATAAAGTCCGAAGAAGTTGGGTACTTAAAAACTTTCCAATGGAAATCTTGGCATCAAAAATACTTGAAAACTAAGCTGACTTATTTTCTCTCTCCGTTATATAAGTAATATCTGAAATACTTACCGAAAAAAGGTTCTTTCTTCCAGCTGGAAAAATCAGATAACACTTTAATTAAACAGCCATTTTATTACAAGATTACTCTGAGGAATCTAATGATTTCAACGAATATTTTAACCTAATCAAGTTCGCCTATGAAAAGCCCGGCAATTGACATTTTATCTCAGTTAAACGTTTTCAGCTGTTATTACCAATGTCGTTTGGCCAAAATTCTTTCATTATCTGCATCATTTGTTGCCCCTCCAAGACTTGGCACGCTTGGCGTTTTGTGATTTTTTTATTGCTTTCCTCTTGTATAGCTTGCTCGGAGAGAAATTACCAATTTTTTGGAAAACCGAGAGAGTAGATTCGAGAACTTTGTTTTGTATATCAAGTTTTGTGTCTGAGTTTTGTTATGAAGGAATGAAAAACGTTTTAAAGCTGTAGGAAAAGTAAAGAAGAACTTGACATCATTTTTCCCACTTTAAAAATAGCCTATAGATATGATTACAAGATGTTTCTATTTGTTGACAGGATATAGCTTTATAAGTTGTTATTACTTTGAAAGATAAACTAAGAAAGGATATGTTACGAAATTTCACAAACACTTTTGATTGAGTTGTTTTTGTCCTCGGCAACTTTGGCAAAAACTGACGAGGTCTGAATAAATATCACCAAAGCAGAAGACATAAACTAAACAGGCCCAGGTCGTGGGAACATCAAAGATGTTGGCAAGAGGCCATAAAGACACGGGTAGTTAGACGCAGGGCTATGAACTCAAGCAAATACATACTTAAACGTGCTCAAAAATAATTACTGTGAAGTTGTACCCTAAGGTGTCTGAGTTAGCATGTCTCATATTTCAGCTTTAGTGGGAAATTCGGCCAAAAGCCTGTCAATCTAAGGAGGTTAAGCTAACTAGTGTCACCTGGTGCACGTGCATTTGACGGTGTGTTTCATAAAATATTATTTTTAATGGACCTCACGGATTGATTTCCCATGGAAAACAGCCAACTTGTATGATTGCGTGTTCTAACACCTAAAATAATTGAGCGCGTATGAACTTACATATTTACATCACTGTTCACAGACATGAGATGAAACGGAAGTAGACGCGTTGAAAATTTGCAGAGTAGCGGACCCAGAGAAAATATGGGTTATGAGTCTCATATCTTAAGCAGGCTCCTCTTCCGTGAGCCTTTCGTGGGATACTAAGCTACTGTTGATCGTGCCCAGGGGCTCGGCCTCAAATTGCAGATTTGAAGTACTTTAGTCTTCTCTGTTGGAAATGATACCTATCTGTTACACATGCAAACCTCGAGGTTTCCTTTTTTCTTTTCTAAATAGCACAAAATAGTAAAGAGATCTCTTTATGGGGAGACATGCCCACCGCCATATATCATGGAAGTATCAGAACAATGTAATGACTCTTGTTTGGGAGATGACTACTGTGTTGGAAATAAAATGTGTTGTTATGATGGCTGCTCCTACGTTTGCATGGATCCCGTACCCTCAGAACCAGGTACGAACAGTTTTCTTATTTCGTATCTTACCTATTCGCAATACCTTATAATCTTGTATTTGTTGCAAAAACTTAACATCGTAAAATGTACCTTCACTTCGGAAAGGTTCAACTGAGTGTCAACAGTAATCCAGGCACCCATTCCTCTTACTCGTGTGATTGGTTCAAAAGGCTTGCGCAACTCTCGAACCAATCACGTAATGGCTTCCCGTGTTTTCCCGCGTCTTAGAAAGGTGTTCCTTGTTGTCTTTTCCTCTGTGGTGGTTGGTTGTTGACATAAAAACACTTTCCTTTTAGAGCAAATCGATCGAAATATTCTTTTCAATGTCCGCGCCAAACCTTTTTTGCCAGGATTCCAGTGCTGCTACTACAAAACAGAACATTATCAGCTATCTGACCCTCTCGTTCCATTGTATAGTGAAAGATAGGCTTTAAGCTAATTTTACTATTTCTGTTTCTCTTAAACAGTTGTTGACTGGATTGACGACGGTAGTTTTTCAGGTAAAAGGAGTATTTTTGTGTTTTTTGCAGGCAGATTTTACTTGTAATCATTAGATTAACCCTTAACCCGCTGAAAGAGTCCTTCATTTTGCAAACAATACAAAATGCAAGACAAAAATGAGACAAAACGAAAGAAAACTATGAGACGAGACTTAATTTGCAACCTTTTAAACCCTAACAAAGATCAACATCCAATTTCTTCACACAGTAATACTGCTTTATCAGTAACTACGATCATGAGAATAAAAGAAATGATCGTCAGCCTAAGAAGCTTTGATTGCTTAACGAATTTATGTTAATACCAAAGGCTATGTATAATAAAGAGTGTGGAGAACATTGATACTGATCTTAGGGTGTAAAGAGTTATAACATGGGAATACACTAAATCAGAATCTTTAGTCCTTCCTGTATTTAGGTGTTTTCCAGTTGATTTGAAGACTTAATCTGATAATAAATTTTTTCTTTTGAACAAGAACTCAATGAAAATGCAGAATTAGAGATTGTGACGCCTGTCTTGGAAGAATCAGGTAAGATATGTGAGTGTTCCCTTAGTGACAAAATTAACAGACCTCATCATATCTTTAAGTGGGCCGGAATAGCCCTTCCTCGACCGTTTTTATCTTTTTTAAGATGAGCGTGGAGGCGCGTAACGTGCTAAAAAGGTTGAAGATGCGCGATGCGCGCGCTAGAACGTTTACGTTGCGCGTTCCGTGTTCCCTTATTTCGCTCGCGTTCAAGGCGACAAGACAATGACTGACAAGAAAAAAAAATTCTATGAACAGACAAAGTCAAAACTTCTCAGTAGCCTTTTATTTTATCTTTTTTAACTTATCTGGGCGTGTAACTAATGCTATTTATCTTTTGTCACAGGATGTGTTTATCGTGGCATGGTGTTAAATGAAGGAGAAAAAATCCCTTTTGGCTGCAAAGAATGGTAAGCATCCAATTTGATTTTGTCTAGACGCGAGCTATAAAGACAAGGCTATGCTCAAGCTGAGCTTTAGAACCACAAGTGACTAATTATTTTCCCTAGGTGACTTTTTATAGCTTTGTTTTTATGAAAGATGTTAACCCCTTGAGAGTAACTCGCAGCGGGTTAAAAAACCCTACAATATCACCCCTGAATCAAATATTGAGGTCGCGAGAAAAAAGAAAATAATCAACCGCTGAAAAAGTTCTTGATTGTTCAACAAATTCTCCTTGTCAGCACCTTAGGAAATGTGGAAAGAACAGTGTAAAGAATATACAAACTGATTTTGAGTGTAAAGTGTTAAAGGTCGGTTCCTCAGCTTTCTTAGCCCACAGGTACCCGGAAATTATTAATTGATTATCCTTTGGAACTGTTAGACTAAATCTGACTGGCTTGGCTGCTTTATTTTATAATTTTCAGCTCCTGCTTCAATGGGAATGTGATGTGTGATGTATCAAAGTGCAACAAAGGTAACTTCCTCATTTTTTTACCCTTTCTCGCCTGTTTCCTTGCTTTTTACGTGATCATTTCGTTTTCTATCTGCATCACGTGACGAAACCCGTCCATATCATCAGGCATACATATTCCAAAAATTAAACCAGCCACTGTGTGCTTCCAACGAAACTCTCAGAACTACAGACTCACAAAAACTTTGCATTCAATCAGGAGAATTGATATCTTAACTGACGTAGTTCTTTTTGCTTTATCTCAGTCTTCTATATTATCTTTTCTTATAACAGATTACCAAGCCCGTCTCCATCCCGGTGGCTCGGGGTCTGGTGATGATAACGATAACGATGACGATGACGATGACGACGACGATGATAACGACATAAAAGGCGAAGGGTCTGGGGCAGTCGTCGATGGCGTAGAACAGAAAGAAGACTTCATAACTATTGAAGAATTGGAACGTAGAGAAAAAGAGGGCTTAATTACCTCACAAGCAGAAATCAGCGGTGACGAATCGAGCGATGACGAATCGAACGGTGACGAATCGAGCGGTGACGAAGCGAGCGATGATGAATCGAGCGGTGACGAATCGAGCGATGACGAATCGAGCGATGACGAATCGAGCGGTGACGAATCGAGCGGTGACGAATCGCACAATGAATTAGAAAGTGACAATTTCATTCCAGTTGACGAGGAAAGAACCTCTGAACAAAGCGGCGAAAATGAAGTTTCATTTGCGAGGCTCTAGTAAGACCATGTAAGGTAACGGCATGTCACGCACAACACTAAACATAACGTGGGGCGTGTCGACTCATTAATCGTTCAGAGGAGTGCGCGACCTCTCCGTAACGCAATACTACGGCCAACATGACTTCTACTGACAGTTCTATAAATCAACATCTGTAACCAAGAAGTAGAGAAACATAGGTTACGTATGTCACGCCATGTAAATAGTGAGACAACGTAAAAGTTTTGTTCAAGTGAAAATATATTTTCTCAGAAGCTGAGTTTACACAGGGTATGCGGATTATCGCAGTCTTCTTTAGGAAACTAGATTTCCACTCATTGTCGACTGAAATATGTTTCGTACAATTTGAATAGTCCACGAGGTGTAAATATAAAATATTCAAGGTAGCGAGGATAATATTCAATAAAAATAACAAAACTGCCAATGACTTCAGTGCAAATAATCAAAGTAAGTTCCCTTCACTTAGACATTAGTTTACAAAGCGAAAATGAAATAAAAAAGTGATGGCATCAAATTCAAAAGCACTTAAGAATGCGGGTTTTGCTTTCCTTGTTTACGAAAGTTTCGGGGAGATTCAGGCGGTTCTCTATGTTACCCGACCCAGGCTTCCCTCGTTTCGCTAAGCCGCTAATATTGCGCTTTTTGATATTTCACTCCGTTTCATTCGCTAAATCCCCCCGGAACAGGCTTTGAATGGTCTGGCCTCCAGTCCGTATTCCATTCAGCAGAAATGCTGGTCGATCGACTGCACCCTTTGAAACGGTTACCGGTTACCTCGCCACCAGGGAGACTCGCCACCAGCGAACTCGCCACCAAGGAACGATCTCGCCACCAACGTACTCGCCACCAAGCGAAGTCTTCTCGCCACCAACCACCAATAAAGAGAGTCGAGTCAATAAAGTAGTCGAGGAGAGTAGGATGTTCGAACGAGCACAATTCAAATCGGCCGATACGTTTGTGCGCTTGTCTGTATTTAAATTATGACCTTCAGCGACGTGTTAGATGTGTTCCGTTCCTAACTCATTGACATCGAAACGTATCGTGTTTGTCTTTTGCAAGTAAGCGAGGAGAAATTGCAAAACTCGATGCGAGGAATAAAAACTTACTTGAGAGAAAATGAAACTTCATGGGAAGAAATAAGTGATGAAATGAAACTCGACAGCAGTTGTATTAAAACTAGATGCGAGAAATTGTCAAGTCGGTGCGAGAAATTGTAAGCGTCGATGGACTGAAGCTTTCCTAAGGCAACTACAGTTGTTTCCCAAGGAGAGTTAACAGTTCAAACCAATTGATTCCTGAGTTTGTTTGCTTATTTGTATGAAAATTTCGACGTCTGTGATGTTATAAGTTCGAACGAATCGACTCACGAGTTTGTTTACTTATCTGTATGCAAATTTCGACGTCTGTGATGTTGTCAAGGGAACTTATTCAATATTCGGTCGAATTATATTACCCAGTATCCCCGCCGCAAAATAACAACAAACTTTATTGAATATTAAATCTAGAAGAGCAGCTCATATGTTGATCATGACTTTTGCAGATGTGGCGGCTCCTAAAAGAGCCATTTTTTATCGGTTTCGAACGTGCTTTCGACAACATACGTTTATAAAGTTTGAGTAAAGACAAGCGAACAAACTTATCAGCCGAACATCCTACTCTCCTCGACTAATCTCTTTATTGGTGGTTGATGGCGAGAAGACTTCGCTTGGTGGCGAGATCGTTCCTTGGTGGCGAGTTCGCTGGTGGCGAGTCTGCTCGGTGGCGAGGTAACTGGATACCTTTGAAACAAGGCCAATGTTGGTTTTTTTGGATAGATATGACGAGTTAAGTTCACAAGGATCCGTTTTCGTAACTTATATTTCGTAAATAAGCCAAGAGACTGGCGTAATGTTATCGCAAAAACACAGATAAAAGAGAGAGTTAAGAAATCGAACCCAGAAGTTCTGCTACATCTAAAAAATCCAGATTAAATGGGTGAGCCAAATTCTCGTGATCACTTTCTTCAGCTCCCTCAGAAAACAAGAGTCCGTGAAGGGAAGATCTTGCATTGCCCCCTTAACTTAGGCTTTTCTCTAATACTTAAATAATAGTTGATTGTGCGCAATTAAAAAAACGCACCCTTTAGCAAATAATCGTTTAAAACACGACCTCAGTGGTAAAACGAGGTAAACCTAACTTGAACAATAAAATTCCTAAGACTCACCACAGACGCTACCTGCGAGCAGAACGTCATTAGGAAAGTACGAGGCCTCGAGAACACGACTGCAAGAGACCTAGCACCGATAACTGGCGCCATACCCCTGTGTCCGACTCGTTTCAAATCTTCTCGCAAGCGGAGAAACGTAAGTTCCAGGGCACCATTATTAATGAAAACCTGCCGCATACAAGGCTAGTTCAGATTTCATTCTAATATGAGCAAAGGATTCTAGCCTCGTAGAAATTTTCATCACATTTTTTTTTTTATTGTCACATCATTGTTGATAAATCACTCGGGATACTTACAGCAAATAAGTTACACGTGCTGAGCCTTGTGGAAGCAAGGTAACAAATAAATAAGCACGTTAAAAGCAAAAAAAAAACTATTTTAAAAAGAAAAATAGTTAAAAAGGTTGTAATAGTATTTCATAAAAATCAATTGTCTTCCTGCTACAATATAGTTAGCCTTGTCACGCAACGCACAATCATACACTCCGCGTGACACGTAATGTCCAGAAAAGACACTATTTCAACTCTTTGCTCCCACGATATCTACGGCGATTCTCCTTACCGACACCACCTGCTTCTTACAATGTTAGCTCCGTTATTTTGATGTTGAGTCAAAGAGTATCTTCTACTTGATATCTTTCTTTGATCTGATGTCCTATCGCTTGATGATGTTGTAAAATTGCGAGGAGACATTGCAGGGCGTGGAAGCGATAGGGGATTCATTTCAATCAGGGAACATAAACAGCATGACAATTCATGCAAATATATTAGATATTCACCTAACTAGCGCCAATTTAATATTGTTTACTATGCGAATCATCGTCTAATTCAAAGGACACAATTAAAAGGATAAAATGATAAGCGAAAAAGGGTCTAAACGGCGCCTTTTGCGTCAGTATGCACATCCTTTCTCAACAAATATGAAAAAAGAGTCAAAAAGAAAAAAAGCACTGGAAAAAAATACTTAAAAGCAGTGCGAGCTACATGTAAAACACTTCAAAAGAAATTAAGAACCCTAAAACCCAATAAAACGATACACAAACGAAAGAAATTACAAATACAATGTTCATGTAGTTGACTTCCTAGTCTTGCGCAAAGGGCTTAACCCTGGGGTTGTTCGGCGAGACAGCGAAGACGTAATCGGAGTTGTTCGGCGGGATGGTGACGAATACGCCGGAGTGCTGGTCGTGACCTTGTCGGACGGAAATCGTACTGGAGGCGAGGCCGACTTGGTTCGGCGCGTCGGCGAAGAGGAAAAGCTTGCATCAACAGAGTCTTCAAGCTTTTGTGACTCGCGCTCCAGCACCGAGGGCTCGTATACAGTGTCACGTGCCACAGTGTGTAGCGAATCTTCTAGTTTTCCTCGGAGATCGCGGATTTCATCTGATTTCTGAGCAGTGCGCGTGATGTAAGATTGTTTCTTTTGTAATTCCTTGGCCAGCTGGTCTTTCAAGGTAGAAACCTGCGCAAACGAACATTTATTTTAATATTTATTTATCATTTTTAACCAAAAGGCTACTGAGGCTATAAACGGGTTGTGTTAATATATTGGGAAACACAAAGAGCCGATTATTTACACGAGGTCTCACCCAGACCACGGTTTTACGCAATCAGCGGGCCTCAGGCTTTCCCTGTGAGAGGGTCGATTTAATAAAATAAATGTTATTCCACTATTAGCTTGCGGTCTTCTCGACACTATCCACATAAATAAGTGTTCAGATGAAAGGTTTATGGACGCGGTTTTGTAAAACAGCGGCTAAACTTACGATATTTTTAAATAACCGGCCCAAAGAATTGAGGCATTAGAGTACCGTAGTATTCTCAGTCTCACAGCTAGTTTTTAAACCCGTTGAATTCGGCCTTTGCTCTACATATTTCTCAAAGTAAGTAAAACAAAAAGGAGTCAGTTTACTACAGAAGAAAATAATTCACAAACAAATTTTTCCACTCAACCTAAAATTTCATCAAGTGACCTGGGAAAAGGGAAAAGCGCAAACTCGCACGCATTCCTCGCTTATAAGACATGATATTCAAACAAACTGACAAATCAAGAAATAGTAACACTATTCCCTTCCTCGCATTTTCCTAACCAAATAACACCAGCCGGAAACATGGCAAGACACTCAAATGTTGAGAGAGACAGCTTACCTGTTCCTCCAGTCCCTTGACACGTTGTTTGTGCGCACGCTCTCTCGCCATCTGTGTCTTCTCCAACTGGCCTTGAGATTGTTTGGCCCTCTCGCTTTCTAACTCCACCTCCTGTCGATGCCTGCTTGTTAACTCAACCAGTCTGAATTTTGAAATTCAACAAAGATTAACTCATTAGAAACTCCTGCGCTTTCTCTTCTGACGTTCATACACTAGAATTCAAAATATTGAAGACAATTTCAATTGATGAATTAAATAACACCAAGTGTAGCATTCCTTATGGCAACAAGTAAATACTCTACCACCGATTCCCGTTAAAGAGGGATCCGTATTGATTGATCATGGTTTTTTATACTTACTTTTGCGCATGCGCATGCTCGGTGTCAGCGATCTGTTGTTGAAGGCCTTGAATCGTCCTCTGCAGTTCTTGGTTGTCCTGTTCGTATGAGCTGCTTGATCGGTCCAGCTTATCACGCTCGTCACGCAATCTTACGCTTACTTCTTCTGCTTCAAGTTTCTCACGTTCGATCTATAATTGTCACGCCGAGGATAAAGTCACAAATAATTAGTGCTACAGATAATGCTACGTGTTCTGTGTTATGTTCTTCAGCACAAAGCACACACAGATATAGAAAAAGTTCGACTATGATTCTCTGCTTTATTCTCACCTTATCAAGAGTGTTCCTCAGAGCTTTCTTGTCCTTTTCCAAACGGACATGCGCTCGTTCCAGTTCTCTCTTCTCTTGCTCAGCACCTGCCAACCCCCGTTGGAAATTCGCCAGGCGATCTTGCAGTTCTCGCTTTTCTTCCTGTAGTTTACCAATTCTCCCCACAAGTTCTTCTTCGGCTTCTTTCTGTTGTCGTAGCATTTGCTGCAATTGTCTGATCTGACCCTCCAGCTCCATGCGTCGAACCTGAAAAATACGAATAAAGTATCGACCAAGGTTTCTTTGCACTAGAAATAAGTTGGTGAAATGTGGCACGATTTGAAACTGGCCTGGTAACTAATCTGCTTCTTCACAGAGTTCTCGCTTCCCAAGAATTTAGCCAAATTATCTAGTTAAGTAATCGTTAAAATTCAATTAACTCATTTGTACTATGAGAAAAATAGGCAATTCACACAACCTGCGCGTTTCTGTAATCTGAGCACCAGTG